AGCTTCTTCCATGTGGATGTTCTCCTTGCCCGAGACCTCGAAGCAAGCCAGGTGAAAGTCTTCCACGTTGCTGTTCACATCTTTGAGGGCTTCCGTGAGGATGTTGGTGTCTTTGGAAGAGGACAAAACCAACGGCCCTCTCTGGTTATCGTCGCAGAGCCGGTAATTCTCAAAGAAAAACTTCTCCTGAGGAGTGCTCGTTGGAGCCAGGTGGTTTTCAAGAGCCGTCTCCAGCTTGGGCGAATGGTTACATGGGAATTGTCTCAAATGGGGCAAGGTGTCGACGCTAGGCGTTGGGGTCTTGATGCGAGGCGTGGTGTGGGAACGGTCCTTGGCCACTTTGAGTTCAGACGGTCTTCCCGAACGGGGACTTCGGCCTTGACCGAGCCTGGGTGGCTTGCGGAGATTACTGGTGCCAGTAGGGGAGAGGGGCTCCACAAAGTGGATGGGGGCTTTTATCTTTTGGTCCTGAGAGCCTCCTCCTCCTCCTCCTCCTCCTCCTCCTCCTCCTCCTCCTCGCGTTGAGGACATGGTTGGGGCCTTCATGAGAAGTTCTTGCTGCTGGGAGATCTTCAGGATGGCCTGCTGAAGGGTGCTGATGGTTTCGTTCAGCTTCTCGATGGAGAGGTCACATTCGCCGAAGTCAGCCGACTCCAGGTTCTCTTCCAGGAGAGCGGCGGAGATCATTTTGCTTTTCTCGATTTCGTGGATGGCCGGCTCTCTGGGAACGTTCTCCTCCACAAAGCCAACCGTTTCCTGAACCTTCCCCTTGGGAATTTCGTCTTCGCCCGCTTCCTCCTTCGTAAGGAACGCCTCCGTTTTGGAACTCAAGGCGTCCTCCTCCAGGCCCTCCCCGTTGTGGCCGGAGAACTCCTTGGCAAAGTGTTCCGGCTTCAGGGGTGGAGACATCTCCGACCCCTTGCCTTTCTTCACCACGTGCAAGAAGGCCGCCTTGCCTAGTTTTAGCCGCTGCCTGGCGGAGAGGGCCTCCATCTTCTTCTTCTGAGCCTCGATGGCTCTCCGCTTCTCCTCCAGCTGCATGTGCAGCTGGACCAGCTCAGAGGCCAAGACATTCACGTTGTCTTTGCTCTGTCTGGTGGGACTCTGCTCCCTCCTCTGTTTCCAGGAGGTGAGCGGAGGCGGACAACACTCGGATCCATCCGGGGTGGTTTTCTGAGAGCTACTGGTGCTGGATTTGGTTTCGTAACTGTTCAGCCATTGAAACTTCCTCTCGGCAAAGCTGGTCATCCGGGCGCTCCCGCTTGTCATGGAGACGCTGCTTAGCTGGGAAATTGTGCTCAGGCACGGGCTGGACCGCCCGCTGGCGTCATCTTTATCTTCGTGCTCCTTGACCTTCATGTCTTCCTGAAGCTTGGCCGATTCCTCCTCTCCTATGTACTTGGCAATCAGAGGGTGGTCCTCGGCCACCATGTCTTGGTCGGCCTCCTCCATATCTAGGATGGACGAGTCGGAGTCTTGCCGAACCATCGTCCACGAGGTCTCCGCGAGGTGGGAATTGGGGCTTTGGGGACAACCAAGGTGGGTGCTGCCGGACACGGCCTCCTCTGCTTTGGCAGCGTGCAGGAAGAACCCCGCCAAAGGCCGCTCTTGAGAGGAGGGCTCCACGCTGCTGCTTGCTTGGGGACAAAAGGGCTCTATCCTGACGTCGGAGTGCACCAGGGGCTCGGCCAAACTGGGACCCGCAACCACGGTTAGTTCAGAACTGGAAGCCACGCTGAAAGTCCTGTTAAGGCTGTGATCGCTGTGACTGCTGTTGGTTTTCTTACGGGCCAACCCCGTGTGCCCTTCACTCAGTCTCTTGGTCACATAACCTCTGGTTTTCCCTTCTCCACATTCGTCCTCCTTATTGATGACCTGCTTCTCCTTGGCTGGCCGTAGAAGGGCGGGCATTAACGGTTCCAGGAAAAAGCTCTCTGGCTTATTTTCCGAAGCCTCGCTCGGCGATTTCTGAGTCCAGGCGGTGCCGGCAAAACCAGGCGATTGAGCCGGCCCGCACTGAAGTTCCAGGCTGCCGTGGTTTGGGGTGGCCTCGGGCCGAATGATGGCGATCAGTTCTTCCTCGTCGTCCTCGATCTCCACGTTATTCAGCAAGCTTTTCCCGCTGCTTTTCACGGGGGCAGAGGGGAGCTGCTGTTTCGGGGTGATGTTGACAATGTTGGAGGCCAGGCTGTCTTTGCTGATGGACCTGGCCAAGCTAATGCTATCGCCAGAGCTGGGGTCTGCGTCGCTGCTCGCCGCGTGGTGAAGACCGAACGGTGTGGGTTGTGAAATAGGCCTAAAAGAGACAACTGTTAGAAGTGTGCTTTGGGGAGAATATATATATATATATATATATATATATATATATATATATATATATATATATATATATATATATATATATATATATATATATATATATATATATATATATATATATATATATATATATATATATATATATATATATATATATATATATATATATATATATCCTTGAAGACGTGACTCCTGGGTAAATTCATAGATCTATCTATCTATCTATATCTAAAGCTCTCTTTCTCTCTCTCATCTCTATCTATCTCTATTATCTATCTATTTATCATCTATTTATATCTATACCATCTCTCTATCATCTCTATTTATCTATGTCTACCTATTTATGTCTATCTATCTGTGTCTATCTATATCTCTCTCATCTCTATCTCTATTATCTATCTATTTATCTATCTATCTATCATCTATCTATCATCTCTATTTATCTATATCTATCTATATCATCTCTCTCTCTCATATCTATCTATCTATCTATCTATCTATCTATCTATCTATCTATCTATCTATCTATCTATCTATCTATCTATCTATCTACCTACCTACCTACCTACCTACCTACCTACCTACCTATATCTCTCTATTAATTAAAGGTATTGACCGCCCAGCTTACCACAGGGTAACCGGACAGTTTACAATATTTTAAAAAAAGATAAAAACTATTTTATTTATTTTATTTTATTTATTTTACAAAATTTATATGCCGCCCTTCTCCCCATGGGACTCAGGGCGGCTCACAGCATGTTAAAACAATATACAGAATTACCCCTTCTAAAAACCAATTAAAATCCAAATATTAGTGGCTGTGACTATTTAAAATCATTAAAAATTATCCCTATTTAAAATTCACCCTAGGTCAGNGGTGACTAGCACCTTAAAGCGTACCCGGAAGGCCACTGGCAACCAGTGCAGCTCGCGCAGCAGCGGCGTTACATGGGAGCGACGTGTCGCTCCCAACACCGCCCGCGCGGCCGCATTCTGGACCAGCTGGAGCCTCCGGATGCTCCCCATAGGGAGCCCCATGTAAAGAGCGTTACAGTAGTCCAGGCGAGAGGTGACGTACAAATTAAAGGGAAAAAGAGCACTATATCAGAGTTGACCAAGTCTGGACTAATAAAAAGATACTTTTGATGTCTAGAACAAGCCTTACGGGTTTACAGGTAGCCACTGAAGTTTGCTGCCTTTTAACAAGTGACGCTCAGGGATTTGAAATCGGTCACTGATTATCTGGTTCAACCTCAGCGCAGACCATCTTGTTTTAAATCGGCCTGATCCACAAAATAGCTGGTGGGGCGGGGGAGTACCTTTGCTTCTTCTCTGGCCACGCCAGAATCGAATCCCGAGGCTGCCCGTCTGCCCGAGTCAAGGAATTAGACCGATGCCGTTGATCTAAAATAAAACCACCCAAGAAATCACGCAATGTTTTAGTACAAGCACGCTTGCTGATATTTAAACCCTTAAATAAAACATATTTGTTCTGTTTATATGGTGGCCTACTAAGCGGGCAACTTAGGGACAGCCTGAATAACTAGTAAACCTCAAATTAAGTCCATATAAAAATAACACAGAGAACTAATAATAGATGCATGAAAACATTAAGGACATGGAGCAGAACTTTGTCCAACAGGATTCGTGCCGCCTCCTGACCCAGGAAGAGACAGATCTTTAACGCCTTTTGAAATGTATTAGAAGCTCCCGGTAAGGTAACTGGGGCGGGTGGAAAAACAGAGGTATAATAAGGGCATATTATTAAGCAGGATGACCTTGCATGGCACCTGACCTCTAAAATGTCATTCCTCCAGTGATTAGACTGGCTCCAACCCAAGCTGTCCTTTTTTTTTAAGGCCTTAAAGACATCAGTTTGTCACTGGACCTGGGAGTCAGATGTGACTGAGCCCGTACAGTAGTTGCGTTTAGTTCGGGTGAATTTGTTTCCCCCCCAATTGCAGTGAATAAAAAATTGCAGTTTTTTGTTCCTTATCCTGTTTTTAGCTGCTGAGAATCATGAATTTGAGATGAGAGGGAGGGAGGGAGGGAGGGAGGAAGGAAGGAAGGAAGGGACAAAGTCTAACAAATTCTATAATTCAAGGCACCCTTGAACAGGAAGGAAGGAAGGAAGGAAGGAAGGAAGGAAGGAAGGAAGGAAGGAAGGAAGGAAGGAAGGAAGGAAGGTCCATCCTCAGGGCAGTATTAAAATGACTAAATGCCCCTTCAGCAGCCATGAGACCTTCACACATCAAATCTCTCTCTCTCTCTCTCTCTCTCTCTCTCTCTCTCTCTCTCTCTCTCTCTCTCTCTCCATGTAGAAAGTTGCTCATACACGAACCACGAGAACAGGAATTGTAGCAATTACCTGAAGTGTCTTCCCCCTGTACAGACTTTTGTTGCTTCTGCCTTAAAGGCAGCAACGGGTGCGATGTGCTGAAGGCAGGACTTCCTTTGCCACTGTTGGAAAACACACCAGAGCTCAGACAGTTTTTCAGAGGCTTTTTTTTCTTCCCTCAAACAGAACGGGCGAGGAAAACATCGCTCGCTCGAACCCCTTTCCAAGCCATTTTCCTAAATACCAATCATAGCTTAAAAGGAGTCGGGGCGATTCAGCCTAAAACCACGTTCCAGCAGCGAGCTCGAATTGAAGAGGTGCTTCTTAAGGCTGACAAAGCAAGTGGTTCTTAACACAGAGAAAGGTTTGCTTGTTTTTTAAAAAAAAGGAAAGAGGAGTGAATAAGAATCTAGTCCTCAAGGGTTCTTTCTTCACAATTAATTACCGTCGCTTAGCTAGGGAGGAGGAAGCGACTGAGACGGGAAAACAGGCCCACAAGGTCACTGCAGAGAGCAGTTCAGACGCAAGGATGAAGATTATCCCAGAGGAAACTGGGACAGCCTGAGAGGCCAAATTATTTGGGTCAGGGACGTAAGGAATAAATCCGTGAAATAAATTCTGCAGAACAGCTTTCCAGTCAATCGGCTGAAATGGGGAGCTTCCTTAAAGTCCCCTTTGCCCACTTCACGTGCTTGGCGACGTTGCCTCGTGTTTCTTCCTGCAAACTGTGCCCGTTTTCAACTCGAGGAGACAAGGACTCTGGGGAAGGAACAAAGGACTTCCAAATCATCAATATACTTCAGGATATTCGTAATTACCTGTTGCACGTCTCCGGCGGGACTTGACTCGGAGGCTGCAGGTCGGCGGAACTGGAGACCACCGGGCTGGGCATGAAACTCCGCTTGGTGGCATTGGAAATGGGCACCGAAGGGCGACTGCTTTTCTGATGCAACATGGTTTTAGCTAGAACATTGGTTCACCAGGGTTAGCTTTAACTGACAGAGCCAACATTCAAAAAAGACACCCGAAGAATCGGCTAAATGTTCAAAGATTAGAAGGCTGAAAGGCAGCGAGGTGTAACCTGTGCGAAAAATCTGCTGTTTTTAAAACTTCTCTAGTTCCAGCAGGCAGATCCTTTGAGTGGTTTCAAAGATTGGGGGGGGGGGAATTGAGGGGTTTGAGTCTCTCTAAGGGGGGGAGAGAGGGGGAGGGGGGAACTGGCCCAAAGTCCCTCCTTTTTAGCCATTTTTAGCATCGACAAAAAAAAATGCCATTTTGAAAACAAAGACTTGAGAATATCCATCCGGGTAAAGGACAGGGAAACCAATTCCACTGCAAAAAATCTTTTTGCTTCCTTTGACGAATCCTCGCCATCCAAATTACTCACCATCTTTGACTTCCTGGGGGTCTCTGGGCCGCACAAAATCCGGCTTGACGTTCTCAAACCACCAGAATAACTCGGCAATGAACACCATTACATTGGGCTAGGGAAAGAAAGAGAGAGAGAAAGAAGGAAGGAAGGAAAAAAGGAATATAAACCAGATCTGCCTGCCCGTTATTGAAAAACGCGTTAAGCGCCTTCCCTCTCTCTTACCTTTAGAACTAAGGGGGCATACAGCATATCCTCCAAGGTAAGGTAAAAGCATTTGTTCAGGTACTCGTTTGCAAATTCTCGAAGCAGCTGGATGTTGTAGATGCTGTCCGCGATCGAGGTGACCTCTTTCAAGCAAATCTCTAGCAATTGGAAGGAAGAAACAAGGGGATTACCCCCAAAACAGCCTCTCGGATCCCATGATGTTCCCTAACAGAAAACACCATCGGTAACTTGACACCTTTCGCTGTTCGAAGGCTGCAATTTTAAGACTTCCCTAAAGAAATTCTAAAACTCGAAACATCGAGCACATCCAGAAAATGCCAGATTGTGTGTGTGTGTGACAATTTGGCACAGCCAACTCGCTGTGGGACAAGATTTACACTTAATATCACAAGATACGGTAGAACAGAATCATTTTAAAGGAAGGTTGCCAAAGCAGGGACAAGAAGGAAATGGGAACGACAAAAATTAAAGTTATGTTTTTGTTTATTTTAAACTAGCTGTACCCGGCCACGCGTTGCTGTGGCTCAGTCTGGTTAAATGGAAAAGAAAGAATTAGAAATCGTAAATGGATCGTAAATCGGAAACATTGAAATGGAATTGTAAAATCGTAGCGTGTGTTGCTTTGACGTCCAACAGATGGCGCTGTTTTTTTTTAAAAAAACATGTTTTTACCTGTCACAGGTGTGACATCTGTATAATAGTAGGTATATAAAAAACACGCGCGTATTCGAATGCAACGTTGTGTCAAAATTTCAAAGCAATCGGTGAAGAACTTTCGGAGATTTAAGATTTTGAACAAACGAACATTTACATTTTTGTTTATATAGATAGATAATTAAACTGAATTGGTAAATTGTCTCGCGGTGGGTTGGCTATGGTGAGTTGGTCCCTTCCAATTGGGGGAGGCTGCTTTGAGATGGGAACTTCTTTGTCCAAGTCCCAAAACGGCAATAAAGGGCCTTGTTTAAGAAACTTATGGATCACCGCAAATCCGAGCGCTTCAGTACGGTCCATAAAGGCAAAGAAACGGGCCTCTTTTTTTTGCAGAAATCTGATCTGAGCAGAAATGAAGCAATTTTGCCCTGTTGATTTTAGCCAGGAAGATACTTTAACTGGAGCTAAATATCCCCCACTGCAAACAACAGTACTAACCGGATGCCTTGAATATGATAAGAGTTATAAGGGACACCACCATTAATCAAATGTCACTATCAGCTGCCACCTTATGCTTGCTTGTGCTTCGCTGCTACGCGGTGATAAACTGCCATGAACTGTGGGGAGGTTGAATGAAGGAAGGTGTCATGGTTCCGAAAGTAGAAGTAGAACGCTTGGGGAAACGGAAGTAAGTGCTCTATCTCCTGAAGATGCTGCCTCAAGGTCACCCAGCCGGAAGAAGGAGGGGGCTACATACCAAACGATGCTTGGACTGACCGTTATGAAAACATCTTGCCTGAATCTGATTGGTTATACGGGGGTAGGGAGGGACTGACAGCCGCCTATCACTTTGGCATCCCCTAACATTCCATTCAGGAAACCAGGTTTCTTTTAAACTCTGTTATCGACGTACCATCAAGCTTCATTTGCTCAGGGCAATAATAATGGATTACAGCCAGTAAAGCTGCCCCATCGCTACAATCCTTCATCAGGTCTTCAAGTAACGGGAAAAAGGGCAGCTGTCGGCTGGAGAGATGATCTCGGCGGTAACGTACCTGAGAAAGGAAGAGAAAACTCGTGAGGTTTGTACATCCCGTCTTTCGTGCACGTTTTTTCACCCCAACCCTCGACACGTCGATTTTGATTGGCCCAAAGTCATCAAATTAAACTCCAGGCTGGGTTAGAACTCCGTTTCCCCATCGGCGTGGGGCCCTTTCTGAAATAGTCCTGCCCTGTTTTAAAACCAGCAACCTTCCATTTTACAAGGTGTTATAATCCTTTTGCTGGCAACAAGCACTTCGTTTTGTGAATACATGCTTGCTAATTTTGGAACGGTTTTCCTGTAGGCAGACCCTGCACTAAAGCTAAGGCAGGCAATCCTCGACTTACGACAATTGACCCCCCACGTTTATGTGGCTATGAGAAATGCGTTGAGTGAGTTTTGCCCCATTTACGGCTTTTTGTGCCTCGTCTGTTAAATGAATCACTGCACTTGTTAAATCACACAGTTGTTAAGTGAATCTGGCTTCCCCCCCTGACAATAATAATAATAATAATAATAATAATAATAATAATAATAATAATAATAATAATAATAATAATAAAGTTAGAAGGGACCTTGGAGGTCATCTAGTCCAAGGTCGCAAAAGGGGGATCATATGAGCCCGGGACACTGCAACTGTCGTAAATGCGAGTCAGTTGCCAAGCATCCGGATTTTGATCATAAGCGTGACAGTCTTAAGTGTGAAAAAGGGCCATACATCACTCTTTTCAGTACTGTTGTAACTTTGGTCACTAAATGAACTGTTGTAAGTCAAGGACAAGCAGTGTTCTTTAGAATATGATTCTTTTTTAAGAAACACACAGAACAAAAACAAACGTTTGTAATCATCTAATTAGTATTTTCATTACAAGGGTATATCTCTTTTTCCGCCCACCACCAACACATACTAATTTAAACTATTGTTCTGATCTTTGGTGCTCCAAATCAACAACTTTCATAGCTTGTAAGCTGCCTCTGACAAAATAATCAAGACTAATCTCCCAATGTCCCTTTCCAGTACTTTAACTAAGCGTACAAAGAATCACCATAGATTCTTCACTCCCTATTGAAATAATTATATATTGCTTTAAATATTTAAATTAAACTTCAAAGGCACTGTATAATATTGCAAAAACAAACAAACAAACCCAGATGCAACTGAAAGCTCTACCAGTGTAGCAGAAAAAGCACAATAAGTAAAAAAAAATAATGCAACATTTCATAATATTATATTGAGATCTTCTGATACTTACCAGAGCTATACCTCTTTTCTCGAGAATAGCCCAAAACATAAAACACAAACTAGCTATTCAGCTAAGGCCATGTCTTCGTATGAAATATTTGAGGAAAGCAAAGGCTGAGAAATTATTTTTTTTTTTGCAACTCAAATCTTGCTGGTTAGAAGCTCTGAGCAGAACAGAAAATGCAACGTTGCAGAATTGGTATCGAATTTGAAAACTGGTATCAGCCAGGCAAGAGATCTGCCAAATCTTGAAATAATATTGGAAAAAAAAAAAAAGGACCAAGGGATACAACCTAATCCATGGGGCACAGGTCCCATAGGAACGTTTGAATTGTGAGATTTTTTTTTTGCTTTTCCTTCAGCCTGAGTCTCTCCACAAACTTGTTGTGTAATGTGAATCATACTGTACCATGGAGCACAAGTCACTAGATGGATCATGCGCTGAGTAAAGCATACACGGTATCGGTCTTAAGCAAAATAGTGTCATCATTGCAAGCTAAAAGATGGCAACCAGAACTCTTACGTAATTCCAATTTAATGTTAGATTAAATCTTGAGCACAATTATTTTCCACGGTAAGGTGAACCTGTGGCTTTAAAATTCTCACTCCAGCCCCTCTGCTTCGCAAGCTGAAGCAGCAAAAGGGGGGGGGCTGAGATTTTTATTCAAACTGCAGGCCCTCCTTATAAAATCAAGGCCTCCCATTGACTCCTGGACTCTCGACTTCATTGGGAGAAGTCTTAAAACCGTATTTAATTTTAATTTTAGCTATCGTAATGAACTGGAAGGACTTTTGCACGGGGAGGCAATCTCACCTAATAAAAGCATGGGAGGATCAGAATTTGCTGACCTCTGCATGGAGTGGTCTCTCACAAAAGGATCAACGGACCGTTATAGCTGAACTCGCACGAGACGGTGCCGTTGTGCTAAATAAACTTTTTAAAACCCAATGTTTACAAGCTGGGGATGGCCTCGGGCTGGCAGTAACTTTTTCCAAACACTCAACCACCGCTTGCTAGTCTTAATTAGCATCTTAATTAGCATCGGATGCCCTACTGTCAGAATCGACCCGGGTCAGCGTTTATGAAGCCCACGCATTCTTTCACAAAGGCTGCTCAGAAACAGGGAAATTTTTATGCCATGGGGCAGCTGGAATCCTAACCTTCCAGTTAATTGAGCAAGTGTAGGCTCAACAAAGACTAGGGAGAGAATTAACAGGACATAGAAGGACCAGGCTGAAACAGCCCATCTGCAAACACTGTGATGGAGCTCAAGAAAAAGGCAACTCTAAGTAGGGTCAAAATGAGAATCTGTTTTAGACTTAGTAAAACACCAAAGAGTTTTTTTCTGTGTGTGCGTGCAAGAACTGTACATTTAGATCTTTGAAACATGGTAATATGCAAGAATTTAGAGGGAAGGGGGGAGGACTTTTACTACAAGTTAAGTTTTCCAAAACAAGCTACGTAAATCCAAATATATTGACCGACTCCCTTATTTTCAGGGAAGGGAATCCAAATTACTTTAAATTGATCGGCTTCACCCTCAACGCTTGCAAAGCAGGAATCTTTTGAAATAGAAGAGGACAATCTAGAGTTTAATCTTTCTTTTCTATAGCTAGAGAGTTTCAGCACCGGCCACTCTGAAAACCTGCCTAGTGATGGATGCTACAAGTTACAGTACGTAGAATCATGAAATGAAATCTACATTTTCTTGGTTAAAAAATAAAAATAAAAATAAAAAATGCCCGGAGCCGAGAAAACATTGCGAACGGTGAAGGCTAGCGCTTTGAATGGAAGCAAATCAAAGACCTATTTAAAAAAAAACAAAGCCATGGTTTTTGTGGATGACAACTCTTCAGACAGGAATTAATTGAACTTACAGGCACTAATTTCCAATACCACTTGGAAGGAGACTGTTGCGGGAAGCAGGGGAACGGAAAGGTGGGAACAGGAGAGGAACATCATCAGAGCATGTTAACAAGCAAACTTTACATGAGCCTCATCTGGACCATGCGGACGGTTTTTGACATCCAAAAGACTCAAGAAAACACAATTATCTTTGAGACAAGCGTGCGGAGATCTCTTCGGGAACTCGTTTAAATAAGTCTGACTGTGCATTATAAAAAGTTCAACGGCAGCCTTTAAGAATGTCTCAGCAGGACTTAGAAATGCACGCCCACAGTTGTGGCACTGAGCTTGGTGTGCTTCTCACAATATTCTAATGCTGGAAGTGTAACAGCATATGTTAGTAACGTCCAATGCTTCAAAGGAACAAAAGAGGGGAAGGATTGTATACATGCACTACTAATTCTTCTGAGTAATTCTATAGATCGGTGGCTCTCAATCTTTTCTTCACCGTGAGCCCCCTTCAAATTCCTTTTGTGGCCACGGACTCTGGCCACAAACCCCCAAGACTTAACTCAAGATTTAAATCATCATATTTCTTCAAGCCTTCGCGGACCCCCTGTAACTTCATGCCCCCCCGGGGGTCCGTCAACCACAGGTTGAGAGCCACTGCTATAGATGTTACTTTCCTTAGCACTTGAGAAGACCCAAATGGCTTCAAATCAAGGTCTTATAATAATAATAATAAAGTTGGAAGGGACCTTGGAGGTCTTCTAGTCCAACCCCCTGCTCAGGCAGGAAACCCTGTACCATTTCAGACAAAAGTGGTCTGTGGCAAATGTGAGCCTACAAGGTCTTCTGAGCAGATGTGAAGACCTGCCACTCTATCTCAAGACTATGTTGCCCCCCGCACATACACACAAGATAATGTATCAAAGCTTAAACAAGACACAATTTTAACAGGTTTTTTTTTAAAAAAAATATATATCTGGAAAACGTGAATATAAACTAAATACAGGTGGTCCTCAACTTACGACCACAACTGAGCCCCAAATTTATGTTGTTAACTGAGACATTTGTTAAGCGAGTTTTGCCCCACTTTACGACGTCATATATGTGAGTCAGATGTCAAGCATCCGAATGTAAATCACATGAACCCAGGGATGCTGCAAAGGTCATAAGTGTGAAACGTGGTCGTAAGTCACTTTTTTCAGCGCTGCTGTAATTTCAAAGAGTCAGTTGAGGACTACCTGTATAAAATAAAACGGGGAGTGCAAACTAAACTTTTAAAATTGGGACTGTCACAGCAGTCTCCAAGTTCCATATTTTTGAAACCCATGGCACCTTTGCGGACCGCGACTGACATCTCTTAAGTGTTCAAATCACTCCATAATACAGTACATGGAGAGATTTTTAAAAAAAGAAAAAGAAAGAAAAAAAGAAATTAAGAGCATCGGAATCAACAAAGCAATTTTGTAGAAGAGGTGCAAGACAGGATAGTAAATTCTACTGGTGTGAGAGCAAAGACAAGATAGAAAAAACGACGAGGTTTGCTTCCAAGAAGCAGCCACGTGAATCAATTAAACGTCCACGTGCTTTACCTTTTGATGACCTGGGCTTTCCAGTAATTGCTGTTTTAATTTAATCTCTTTTTCTGTAATCTCTCTCATTTTTAGGTTCACCTAAAAGAGCAGAGGAGGAAAAAAAAAAAGGTAATGATGGCAACTCTATTCCTTTCCCCGATTTTTGTTTTAACTGCTAAAATTCAGGGCTTTGTTATTTCTTTATGCTTTCTCAATCTCCCTAGCGGGTATTCTGGATATCCATAAGCATCATCATCATCATCATCATCATCATCATCATCATCATCATCATCAAGTTGGAAGGGACCTTGGAAGTCATCTAGTCCAAAACTCCTGCTCAGGCAGGAAACCCTATACCATTTCAGACAAATGGCTGTCCAGTCTCTTCTTAAAAACCTCCAGTGTTGGAGCATTCACCGCTTCTGGAGGCTGGTTGTTCCACTGGTTTATTGTTCTCACTATAAGGAAATTTCTCCTTAGTTCTAGGTTGCTTCTCTCCTTGGTCAGTTTCCATCCGTTGCTTCTTGTCCTGCCTTCAGGGGCTTTGGAGAATAGCTTGACTCCCTCTTCTTTGGGGCAGCCCCTGAGATACTGGAATACTGCTATCATGTCCCCCCTCGTCCTTCTCTTCATTAAACTAGACATACCCAATTCCAGCAGCCTTTCCTTATATGCTTTGGCCTCCAGTCCCCTAATCATCTTTGTTGCTCTTCTCTGTCCTCTTTCTAGAGTCTCAACATCTTTTTTACATGTGCTTCCCTCTCTTTTTCTTACCACCCAATCCAGATGACAATCAAATACGATTAGCCATTTCAAATTCCTAACTGTACAGATGCTCCAAATACACACACACGTATCTAGACACACCTACGTACTTCAGATATAGGCACCCACTATATCACAAATCTAAATCTAAATCACAAATCAGCCCCCAAGCCATAAAAACAAAATGACTCCCGGACCTAAGTAAATGGATTTCCCTTGTTTTATTCCCTACCCAATGTCTAAGGCATTTTCGAAATTAAGTTCAATATCTCTGGCTAAATACTTGTTTTCTGAAATACAAGCAAGAGAATTAAGCAGGAGGAGAAGGTTTTTACAGAGTATTCTCTCACTTTTGGGACCGCTTAGTTCCCCTGCGCTAGCCAATTTTATTTATCCAAGGTTTCGTTTTATGTTGTTTAGAAGCCAAGTGAAGTTACTGCCTAGTTACTGTAGAGAAACACTTACATTCCCCCCCCCCAGTTCTCCTAATATTGGAAAACACAAATTGTATCCCGCTTGCAGGTCCCATGCTGGTGTTTTACCGACGACAATCAGACCCTTCCCCATAAAATTAGCTCAGGATTTACCTTGTTAATCCAAAATATCATCGCGTCTTCCAGATCGTAGGGCAAGTCCTTGGAGGCGCTGAACGTAGAAAAACACTTGACGCTCGCCACGACTTTCTCAATGCTGATCATCTCTACCGTGTAGGCCATCATGAGAGCATCAATCATTGCCATGTGTGGACTCTACAAGACCAAAAAAAACACAACAACAATGCTGGGTTCAATCCCCTTTTCAAGAAGACTGGGAAAAGGGGTCGGTCAGGCCTGGGGGGGGGATCTGCGTGGGGAAACAAAGGAGAGTAAAGCACAGGAGTTCAACTTGTTCTTTTCTTTTAAGCTCACCATTTTGATCGGCGCAGAGCTGAGATCGGATTCGGACACGGGCGTGTCGTCGCTCTCCATGACGTAAATCCCTTTCCGGGAGAGCGCCTGGATGACCGAGTGGTGTCCCTGCAGCGCGGCCACCTGATCCCCTTTGAGAATAAGACTGCAGACGCGGAAGTACAGCTCGCTGGATAGCAACAGCTTGATGACAGGCGGTTTGATGTGCTCCTGCTCATACTGGTCTATATAAAAGGGATCTTTTAATTCCTCCGGGATGTTATCTGAAAGGAGAAGACGAGCCAGTTCAAAGAGAGAGAACTGGTGTTTGACACCACCAACAACTTAATTAAAGATGTAGCCAACCAGGGGGGGGGGAACCCCCCCCCCCACACACAATTTCCTTATTTTAAAAATTGCTGAAAGGACAAGTTGATTTCTCAAAAGAGGCGAAAATGTCATTCATGAATAGCTGTGGTCAATAATGCTCGGCTCAACGACCACAATACATCTATCAAAGCTCAGGAACGCAACTTCCTTCAAAATGACTCTCCTTCCTCAATATCTGCAGCACATCTATCAAAAGGATTAGAAGTCAAATTCTCCGATTTCCCATGCTGAGGAAATCTGTACTATGGTGTCCCACCCACCCTTTGCCTCCTACAGACCCAATCAATGGGAAACCTTCAAAGCCCCCCCGCCCCACACGTTCTCATCCAACACTTTAACCACTTTGGCACGCCCGGCTTTATCAAATCAAAACTTCAAGGGCAACTACTACACTACTACAGTTTTTTGAAGTTTTATGCCTTCAATTAGATAGCTGTACAACCTCAGTAGTCTAGCTTGGATGCAATTCATAATCCGTGCATGAATTTCTACACTGAGACAGGATTGCAACTGGCACTCCTGGACACTGCAAGCAAGAAATGTAGCCCCAAGCCCAGGAAGGGCCACCAAACTGTAAACTAGTTCAACACCTTTATCCAGATCTGCCAGCTTTCCCATTGCCTTTTCTGGGTTATGTTTCAGCTTGTTCGCCTCGTTTCATCCCAAAACAGCTTCTTAAGATACCTGTTCTCTTGTCCCACAAGCTCTCTGAAACCACCTCATCTGAGTGCAAAGACAGAGTCGTGTGTCATCACAAAATTACTATTTGACACACAACTCAAAGGTGATTTACTCTCAGCAGTGCCATTCAGACATTACAAAGTAGGTGCTGGCTTCATATTTGGAGGAAATCTGGAATGAAGGTGAGATTGCGCAGGTATCTAATTGAGTTAAGTCTGAAGCCTTGCAAAGATTTTTAGAAGATTGGAGATTTGGGCTATGCAGGACCACAGTTTTATTCTTTATGGAAGGGGGGGGGGGAGGAGACATAAGCCTTAAAGCCAAACATCAAATCTGATTTTTTTTTTGCAATTGACCAGATGCAAACTGACAGAAATGGAATCAAGTATGTCAATTACATGACTGTGCGGCTTCTGTACATTGACAGAAATTATACCAACTATCTGCAAGGCTAAAGAAACTTAGCCAATTATTGAGGGTAACAACCTGAAATCAAATTCTGAAATCCACTCAATTGGGGTCTGTAAAATGAAGTCCCTAACCCTGATCTGGAACCCCAACAGATATGTTTATAACTCTGCTCTCATTCCAGCCTAGTTCCCTAGTTCCCATGGAAGGTAAACATAAACACAACATTGACTAACCAGTGGCTCCAACCGATACAGTACAGTTCTGAAAATCAGATACAAAATATCCCAACAGATAAACCATAATTATGGAGGAATACAAAACGCCATCATCTTAAATGTAGTTGCGGCCTATGCTATGGTGAACTTGTTTTTGTTTTTTTAAACTCCAATTTATCAGAGCTGCAGTACACTTTCATCTGTGCAGGAAACTTTTGGTTAGCATTCCTAATCTCAATCTAACACATGGCACAATTTTTATAGGACAAAAAGGTACTGCGCTAGCCAAAAAAGAAATAAACCTGCCAGTAAGAAATATACTGCATTTTAGCCCTACTAAAAAGCAAACAATTTGCTAAGCAGCTGGCAAACTGGAGTTAGATTAAGAGGATCAACAACTCTGTAACTCTGAATTACATATTTCACACTTATTTCCGTTAGAAGCACCATACCAATAAAATAGCTAGAAATCTTTGCTCGAAAGATAGAAAGCAAGACATCAGAACAGATGAGTTTACTGCAATGCAAAACTCAAGTTGGCAAGACAGACAGAGAGAGGGAGAGAGGGAGAGAGAGAGAGAAATTGGAAAGGTCCCAACATACTCTTTCAGGCTAACACAGGAGTTTAGCAGCTAGATGTTTTCCATCACTAGCTTCCCTTTATTTTTATACCCACCGCTCAGAATCCCACACAAAAGGGGATGTGTGGTCTTCACACCACTTTGTTCTGGAATTCAAATGCTGCAGGGTTTTTTTTAAAGGAAGGTAGCCGACTGACCTTCTGCATACCACAAGATTTTATTTTTTAAAAAAAATTTTAATCAGTTAGGAACCCTCCAAACTAAGCAGCAGGCATTTGCCCCCCCAAAAAAGGACTTGCAAAGTCAAGTCCCACAGAGAAATAAGGAGCACAAGTGATGAAGATAAATAAGATCATGAAAAGGCAGGAGAGATCAGGGGTTCTCGCAGGCCTTTTTAAATGATGTGTGGGAGAGAACAGCTTGGCGATACAAAAACAAACAACAGCACGGCAGGGTGTTTTGCACTTAAAACTACAGGCCATTCATGATAAGAAAAAGGGGGTGTACACCAAGGTCTGGGCAAAGCATGGAAAGGAAGCAGTTCTATACTTTTAAAAAAAAAAAAAGCACAGTTCCAAATCCGTTACTGAGAAGGCAGGGAGGGAGAGGTTGAGAAATAAAATAATATTTTTGCAACGGGGTTTTATTTTTATTTTTTTACCTATTCCATAAGCTTTCGCGCAGATCCACTGTAGATTAGCAGCTATTTTGGCTCGGGATGAATCATAGAGTTCCAACGGAACAATCTCGGCGCTACTATCTGTAAGAGCATCCATTTTTCTTCTGGGGTTATCTCCACCAGCACCAATATCAACATCCACCATCTGCAACGACAACCCAAAAAAATAGAAAAAAGAAAAGAGAGAGAAACAGAGCCTAACGTTTTGAAATGACAGTTCAAAATTCAAGCGGATGGATGATCAAGGACGGGTTCCTATCAGCCCACAAACTTGGGAAGGGGGAGATTTTATTATTATTATTTTTTTTATTGTAAAGGTTTGGTATATCGGATTGCAACAAAGCTCGGTTGGAAAATCACCCGCCCCAAAGCACTGTACACAATCAAAACTTAACAGAAACAAGATAACCGGCACACCAACTCAGTAAAGGTAGTTATGTTCGTCCTGCTTTACAGGATCCTTGCTCACCTGCAAATATTGGCTCTGATAAGTTAAGCAACCCCTAATAATATACACAGGTCCAATTTATCATCCGATTCCCCCAACACCTCCTGTTTCCTTCCTCCTTACTCCTAGGAGGGATCAGGCTGAAAGGAGCAGATGCTCCAAATATTTTCAGCAAGGAGATAATAAGCCAAAATAGTCAAACCTCTTACCTTTTCTGCTGGCATGTTTGGGGGGGGTGATCAAAGGAAAGGGGTCTCAATCCACCTTTCCTGCTAGAAGGCTTGACCACCCCCCCAAAAAAAACCCCACAAAGACAACAAAAGAGATCTTGTCAAGATCTCCTTGCTTTGTATCCATCGCCCAGTTCCTTCTCTCTCTTTTTTTGCAATCTCACTAGCTTCCCCCCCCATACACACACATTTCCCTTTGCCAAAATCTCTTCCCGGTTCTGTTTTCTGCACGCCCTGCTTTCCACCTTCAAAATTATGGATGGTGATTCTTATTGTGATCGCTTCTTACAACTGTCTCAGCCCTTTTCCACTTGGGAGGGAGGGAGAGGGTCCTGTCTCCTTAAGAGACCTTACGGTGAGGGTCCTTGGTGCTCTCCGAGATTGGCTGAGCTCAGAGAGCACCAAGGACCCCTCATTTCAACCCTGAGCTGCAAATATTCTCCTTTATCTAGACCTTACAGACTACGAACAGCCTCCTCCTTCATTCTCAATGTGCCCCCAGTCCTCATTCACGTGTGCTTAGTGCCCTGTCATGTTAGGGCCTCCTTTATCCAATTCTCCTTCCCACATCGGGTGCCTAATTCCAGCCCCGTTGTTGAAATGTACACAAATGCAAATAAAAGAAGACATAGATCCCCGACTTATTTAAATACAAATAAAGGAAGACACGTGTCCTCTCGCCTTTTATGACTGCCTTTTCTTGACTGAAGGAAATTCTCCCAAACACACTTAGGATCCAGGCTTCTCTATTGTGCTAACCCATCACCCTACCCTCCATTAAAACCTAGCCCAGGCCTAGTGGGTCCTTAAAAAGTTCTGCTAGACAATCACACACACCACATACACAAATCGCACAAATCCTATCCCCGCACGCCCCCCCCACACACACACCCCTTTCCTCTTCTCCAGCTTCCCCCTTGCCTTCATACCCAACTAATCAATTTCTGCATGATTGCAACTAGGCTTTTTTATTGCTTTTTATTGCTTGCTTGGTTTTAACTACGCCTTCTTCGAAGCCTGCTTATTTTGCCTTTGTGTTGATTGTGGTTTCTTCCCCCCCCCACCCCTTTTTAAGCTCCCAAAGAGGAGAAAGGAAAAAAATAAAAAATAAAATAAAATAAAGCAAGGACTTCACACAACCAACAGTGAAACTGACTTACAAAGAGTGCAATTGATCAGGGTCCTATTATTGTGAGCCTCCAGGCTTAGATCTGTCCCCCCCCATCGCTCCCTCCTAATGCCCCATTGGCCCCCTCCCTGCACACAACAATCACACACACCCCTGGTTGTCACTTTGCATCCCATCAGACACCCCCCCATGGTCTTAAAAAAAAACCATCACCCCTTGCAAGTGCTGAAGACAATAGAAAGTGACACTTTTTTTAAAGATCACCCCTCCTTTAAGGGGGGGGAAAGAGGGGAGGGGGGAGGAAGAAGAAAAAAAAAGCAAAAATGCAAGGCTAGCCCAGCTCTTCCACACCAATGGTCCCCCCTCCCCCAAATAAGCCACGATCGCCCTCCCCCAAATCACCCCCAAGATCAGCAGGCGTGTTTTTTTTGCAGAGACCCCCCCATCAACCCCAATTAGGGGGGAACACTTCTGGGGAGAGAATGCATTGAATACAACCCCCCTCCCCCTTTCNTTCATGGGTGGGGGGGGCACACAGCTCGCGGGGACGCCCCCGGGTCGGGTCGTGCGGGGGTCCCCGCCCCTGCCAAGCCCCCCCTCCCCTCCCCTTCCTTCGGGGGGGGCGACCCCCGCCCCTCACCTTGCGTCGGCCTTTTCCCCCGGCCTCGGCTACTCCATCGCCGCCGCGCAGGCCGCGCCCAGGCCGGAGGGGGCCGCGGCCACCCCAGAGGGACGCGGAGACGGGCGGGCGGGCGAGGCGGGCACGAGGGCGCGGGCACGGCGATGGGCGGCGCGCTCCCGACGGGCGGCCCGGCCGAGACGCCTCCTCAGAGAGAGAGAGAGGGAGAGAGGAAGGGCGGGCTGCCGCGCCTGCGCAGTCCTTCTCCCGGGAAGGGGCGGGGCGCTGCGCTCGGGCGCGCGCCGGGCGACGTCACCGGGCGCACCAGACTGAAGGCGTCGCCTCGCCAGCGTCTCTCGCCTCGGCGCGCATGCGCCCAGGGCACGGCGCTTTTTTTTCCTCTCTCTCTCTCTCTCTCTCCCCCCCTCCCTCCGTTCTTCTTCTTCCTCCTCGCAACCGTCTCCAAGGGAATAAGGCGAAACCCGTCCGGGGGCGGAAACGGAGGAGGGGCTTCCTGGAAACCCGGCCAATGAGAGCCCCGAGGGGTGTTTTGATTGACGTGTAGGCCGGTACCACAACTCCCATGCTTTGGGCTGGGCTGAGGGAGGTGATGGGTTTGTAGTCCATCGCCCCTCGGGGGAAACGGGGATTGAGCTTAGCCCCATTAAAGTCCATATTCAACGTTTTTATTGAGATATTAATTTTAATAGCTGATATTTCATAATATTATATATTAAGGGTATTTTTTGTTAATTTCCAGGCAGATGCTTAATACGGGATAATACAAAATAATAATTTATAGTATGTTGTGACTCTTAAGAGGTTGAATAATTACTAGAGACGTTGTATTGCCAAATAATTATTGGGGGTATTTTCCATAGGAAGAATTTTTCTTTCAAGAAAGGGGTTTAAATTAAGTTTAGTTAGATACTAGAATAAATCTTTATTTTTTTTAAAAAAAAATGTTATAAACTCCTGGTTTAATCATGGGGGGAAACAAGGCTTGTAAATCTCCTGAAATGTTGGGTTGTATTATAGATATATTGATTCTCTATAAACGGCATGGGATGTTTTTTTCCATAGGATATCAAAAGTTTCAGCGGCATATAAATTTAATAAATAGAATAGGTTTTAATTGCTGGAGTTGGGCAACATATAAATGTAATATTATTATCATCCAGGAAGAAAAATGAGACATTAGTTGGAGAAATAATTCAAAACCCTGTTCAAGCAGGAGATCCTATACTATTCCCGATAAATGGCTGTCCAATCTTTTATTAGGCTTGATATAAATGTAATAAGACCAAGCAAAAAGATAACGGTAGTAGAGACCCTTAGGTCACACACAGAGTAACAGAAGGGACCTTGGAGGTCTTCTAGTCCAACCCCCTGCTCAAGCAGGAGACCCTATACTATTCCAGGCAAATGGTCGTCCAGTCTCTTCTTAAAAACCTCCAGTGATGGAGCACCCACAAATTCTGGAGGCAAGCGGTTCCACTAACAGAATAATAGCATTGGAGGGACCTTGGAGGTCTTCTAGTCCAACCCCCTGCTCAAACAGGAGCCCCTATACCATTCCAGGCAAGTGGCTGTCCAGTCTCTTCTTAAAAGCCTCCAGTGATGGAGCATCCACAGCTTCTGTAGGGAAACCGTTCCACTAATTAATTGTTCTCACCGTCAGGAAATTTCTGTTTATTTCTAGGTTGCTTCTCTCCTTAGTTAGTTTCCATCATTTACTTCTTGTCCTGCCTTCAAGTGCTTTGGAGAATAGGCTGACCCCCCTCTTCTTTGTGGCAGCCCCTGAGATACTGGAACATTGCTATCATGTCACTTATGTGCTCATGATAGAAACAACTCGACAGAATCTGCTTAGGATCCATAAATTTAGTTAAGACGAGAGCAATACGCCCTTGTTTGCCTTGCCTAAAAGTTGAGTGGGGGCATTCCTTCCATCCTGATATACAAGGATTTGTTTCTTGCAGGGCGGGGCTGAAAAATGCTTAACCGCATGTCTTGAGAAAGGGTGAGGTTGACTTGCAGCTCTGTTATCTTGAAGACTCATCTCTGGGAGAGAGTGGATCTCCCAGGGAGTGCTCAGAACCAATCTGGAGCAGGGTAGCTTCTGTAAATGGGTCTACCACATTCTTTGCAAAAGAAACCCCTGAAGCTATATTTAATCAAGTTGCATTTGGGATCATTTCATGCTCGGCATCTCTGGAGCTTTATATATTGTAATCAACGTACGTGTGCACTAAAACGGAATCTTACAAGCTCAATTTAATTCAATGTATTGCGGTCAAAGTCCAATCTTACGAGCTCTGGGCTGAGAAAGAATCAGGAGAAATTCCTTCGGTTCTTCATGCATCCTTGTTGATGCTGCTTCAATTGGGCTGTCTGGTTTCCAGAGTTCTCCTGATCTACTGCTAGACAATCTGGTACAGGGTCATCTGCTTACAGGTCTTCTCAAGTCTTCTCAAGATCTGGCCTTCTCTTCCCGGTCCAAAGGATAACAATCTAGTTGAGTAGTTCTCAACTTTTTATTTCTTTGTTTTATCCAGGAGGGACCCTGATAGGTTTACAGTGATTTTGTAACTCTTCAGGTCTTCATTAAATTTCAATCCTTGCCCCATCTCCAACTTTGAATCCTGGCCTGTTTGAAGGTATCTGGTAATAGATGAGAGTCATCGACTTGAAGACATCAAACCCTTGGAAGGACTGTGTGGTTTATGAGGGGTCCTTGGTGCTCACTGAGCTTGCTTGTTTTCTTGCACACGTTTCATTACCTTAACTAGGTAACATCATCGTTGCAAGTTGATGTCCAGTTTAAGATCCATAAGAAGAGAGAACCCATGATCTTTGAAGCCCCTAATTCTGCTCACTAGCATTTTCTCCTCTTTGTGAAAACATATTACATTTCCTTTTTCAACGGTTTCTAAGTTTTCCATAGATACAAGCTAGAATTAGCTCTTGGAAATTAAGGTCCTCTTTTGTGGGGGTGATGCCTTCCCCCCCCCCAGTGATGCGCAAACAGGGTTGAAGGTCCCTCCTGATTCTGTGCTTCAGTGGTGCCCAAAGTGATGCTCAAGAAGCCGTTAATCTTAAGAGAAGCAGACTGTGCTCCATAAAGGAATGCAAATGTTGAAAAAGCATGATTACATAGAAACACCGTGAATCTTTTTGCAGCCTGGAGAAGAAGGACATCAACTTGAGTTGTGTGAAACAGTGACTGCGTTCTTAGGCGTTGCTGCACAACCGTGCCCCATATGATTAATCTGGTTTTCCTTTCTTTTCCGAAGGATGGATTGCGTAATAAACTCTCCTAGCCATTATGTTTGATGGAGGGTAAGATCCAACAGACAAGATGCCTCTCCCACGTTGCCAAGGTAACCGCCGAATTACAGCTTGATTTGGCAAATGTCGTGGCTGTGGCCACGAGGTCGTATTTATTCTTTAAAAACTCTTCATTTCTTCCCATTCCAGAACTAAACACTCTCCATTCCTTTCCATTCCAGAATGGGCAGGTGGAAATCAAAAGAAGAAGAGAAAAAAAAAAACCCTACCACCAAAGAGGTAACAGATGTTTGTAAAATATCAGATAGTGTTAGAATTTCTCTTACCATGCTGGCACTTATCCAAGTACTAATTAGATCCAATCTTGCTTCCGTGTTTGTTTGTTGGTTAATTTAAGATCAGCTCCAGTGGGAGGAGAAAGAGGAAAGGGGCGATTGAGGCAATTACGATTTTATGAAGTTGATGAGATCCTGGAAAACAGAAAGGTGAGAAATTTAAAAAGAACAAAAAGCGAGGCACTTGGTCACTTGTGGATCTGAGAGAAGCCAGGATGGTTTGCGAGGAAAAATAAACTAGATTGAGTTAGGGTTTGTTTTCTTATTTCTGGCTGATGTCTTTTGGCTTGCTGCCTTCTTTCCTTCTCTATCCTTTCTCTGTGGTTTTGCATAATGTGGCTTATCTAGAAAGGAAATAAAAGGATGGGTAGCTTTAGCTCGGGCCCAGATGAACAGGAATGTGACCGAATGCAGAAAGACTGGTTTAGCACATTTGAAATAAAAAAAGAGGCGATTCAGAATCACATCAGCTAAGGAGCCTCTCTGCCTAAGAGTGCTTGAGATGTTACCGACCTCAGGCCAGCAAAGCAGGCTTGGATTTTCAGAGTATCTGGCTTGGGAGACCCTCAGAAAAATCCAAGATTGTATCACTTCCAAACAGTTGTCAAGGAAACTGGCATCACCAAGGCTCGATCCAATAAGATGGATTATTTTCAACCACCATCAACTCAAGACGCCTTTATATTTTTATAAGTAACTCAAGGCGGCCAGCTTACCTAATGCCCCTTCCTCCTATTTTCCATACCGTGTGAGGTGGCTTGTGGTTACCGAGAACGGGGCTCGCCCAAAGCCACCTAGACAACTTCCATGCCTAAGAGCGGAACTAGAACTCACCGTCTCCTGGTGATTGGCTGTTACCCAGCTGGCTTTCCCGCCTAAGGCGGAACTAGGACTCACCGTCTCCTGGTGATTGGCTCAGTCACCCAGCTGGCTTTTGTGCCTAAAGTGGGACTAGAACTCCCAGTCTGGGTGATTGGCTCAGAGTTACCCAGCTGGCTTTCAGACCTGAGGTGGGACTAGAACTCATTTGTCTCCTAGTGATTGGCCCAAAGTCACCCAGCCACCTTTCATAGCTAAGGCAAGACTAGAACTCACCGTCTCCTGGTGATTGGCCCAGGGTCACCCAACTGGCTTTCATGGTTAAGGTGGGACTAGAACTCACCGTCCCCCAGTTTGCAGCCTGGATCACATTGTCCCTCTATTCTCTTAATGATGAACACATCATTAAGGGTACGTTATTCAGGAGTTGTTGTTCTCCTGTTCTAATTCTCTCCAGTTCCACCTACCCAAGTCAGAGGAAAACAGAACTGTGATTATATTCATGCTCTAGCCCCGTGCAGATACCTCATTCACATGTTTCCAAGACCTTCCCAGTAGTCATGGGCCAATGCCTCTGCCTGGGTACCCAGGGATGCGTGTGCTGTGACACGATAGAAGATAAGTGGGCGGCCGGTGGAGGCAGCCACGCATTCCCTGAGTCAGAAGAAGACAGGCACATGGCAGATTCCCTTGAGCGCATAACCTGGTGTCCCCATGGCAACCGCCGTGATGATGGTTTGGCAAAGTGACATCCCAAGAAGCAAATGAACGCCTGTGAAAATCTCTCTTAACCGAAGCTGTTTTCAGGCAGTCACTGAAGGTCTTTCAGTTACCTGCGATTATTCTGTTCCGGATAGTAACGGGAGTAGCAAACAGATTTCACGCTGAAAATTACATACCTCATTGCTTTCTCTTTAGCAGAGAGGAGCTCTGAAGCTGAGGTTTTTCTGTCTCAGTGGCCAAACCCTCAAAAATTAAACACACATTTAATTTTTTTAAATAACCGAGAATATTTGTAGCTTGGTTGTTTTCTTGCAGACGATTTGTTACCTCCACTAAGTAACACTGAGGATGTTACCTCGTTAGGTAATGAAACGTCTGCCAGAAAATAACCAAGATCAGAGAGAGCATCCATTTTTAAAATCCCAATTTTCCAAAAGTCAAACGTTAGGCTGCACGGTGTGTCGTGCCTTAAAATGGGGGATGTGTAAGAATGCATCTGCGGAATGCACTCTCTGAATAAAAGAGAGGGGGGGAAATGGGTGGAAAAGGGACATAGATCAATTCGTACAGATTCACACTTCTTTCCCCCCCCCCCAGATCTCTAAGGAGAAGAGTACTAAGAAATTTAAATTTAAAGGGATCCGCTGTAGATTGTAAGACAAGCATTTTGGATATGGTCGCCAAAAGAGAGCCAAAGAGTTGCAGATGATACCAGACAAAGGGCAATTGGGAGCTGAGAGTTGGGTTCTCCCTCCGCCCTTTCAGAGGAGCTGCCACTGAATCTCCTGGCTGGTTCAGGAGGCTGGCTCATCAATCCAAAATGCCTGTCCTCCGGGCCCCAGGGTGGAAGAGAGAGAGATGAGGGTGGGGGGGAGAAAGCGAAGATGGAGAAGGGGGCAGGGAGGAGGGAGAGGCAATATCTTCTATTGTGCTCCCAGTCCTCTAATTTGTAAATTTCACCATGAAATATTTAACACTGCTTCTAATTTGCATAGAGCAGCATGCATATGCACAGAGCATGTAAAGGGTAATGAGAGAGAAAGAAAAGAAAGAAAGAAGGAAGGAAGGAAGGAAGGAAGGAAGGAAGAAAGAAAGAAAGAAAGAAAGAAAGAAAGAAAGAAAGAAAGAAAGAAAGAGGAGGTTGGGAGGGAGGGAGGAAAGAAAAGAAAAAGGAAAGGACGGAAGGAAAGAAAGAAAAAGGAAGGAAGGAAGGAAAAAATAAATTGATAGGTAGACAGACAGATAGACATAGATTAGAGAGAGAGAGAGATGGACCTGAGTGAAGTGATTTTGGTTCTAAGCAGCTTTAGGTAGGAGGGACCATCCCCAAGTTTCGTTCTGTCGAGATGATTTCAACCATTAATTTCAGGCAGGGCATTTTGAATGCCTCATTTGCTCTCTGGTTTATTGGTCCAGGCAGGCTAATGGAAAGAAAAAGATAATTAAGATACTGGGGGGGGGACCCCTAAAACTAAAGATGCTCCAGTATCCTGCTGCGTCGTCCAGCCAGATCCATCTACAATACATCCTAAATAGGCATTAAGGAAACTCATTTATAGTTCTTTTGTTAAAAGCATCCTAGGAAACCACCAAAAACGACAGCCAAAACCAACGTATTCTATTCTATTCTATTCTATTCTATTCTATTTATTTATTTATTTATTTATTTTTCATAATTTATATGCCGCCCTTCTCCCCACGGGACTCAGGGCAGCTCACAGCATATTAAAATAACACAACACAAACAACACAACACAACATTTCCCCTATAAAATCCAATTAAAACCAAATATTTATAGTCTGTGACATTATTAAAATCATTAAAAATTATCCCTATTTAAAATTCACCCTAGGTCAGTCCCGCTTGCTGAAAAAGCTTCCAACTCTTATTCTATTCTATTCTATTCTATTCTATTCTATTCTATTGCTTCCAACTCTTGTTCTGTTCTGTTCTATTCTATTCTATTGCTTCCAACTCTTGTTCTATTCTATTCTATTCTATTGCTTCCAACTCTTATTCTATTCTATTCTGTTCTGTTCTGTTCTATTCTATTATTTTTCTGTTCCATTCTAAAGTTATTTCCACAGTTGATTTGAAGTGCTTGACCAGCCTCGGGGCTAAACCTTTTTGAAGAAGCCGATGCAATTTACCCCAAGGAATCAGCTTGGGGGACGTTTTAGCTTAATTTTTGTTTTGTTTTTAATTTTTCTGGTCGGAACGAGGCGGCGACGACGCGCGTCCGTCTCGGCCCGCGCACGGAAGCGGAACCTTCGGCGCGGGCGCGGTTTCCCGGCGGGACGCCTAGAGCGGCGGACCGAGGGCCGCTGGGGGGCGCCTTTCGCCGTTGCACCGCGGCCGTTAACGGGGCGGGCGGGACCCCGCGCGGGCTGCGGAGCCTGGCATCATGTTCGCCGGCTTGCAAGAGCTCGGGGTGGCCAACGGGGAGGACTTGAAGGAGACGCTCACCAATTGCATGGAGCCCCTGAAGGCCATCGAGCAGTTCCAGGTGGAGGGGAAAGGAAGGGGTGCGGCGTGGGGGGGGGTTTCTCTCCCGCGTTCCCGTTGCCTTGGGGGGGACTAGTCCCGGGGCGAAGCATGCAACTGCCCTCTTGAGTCTTCTTTTATTTTCCTACGGCTTGCAAAACCTGGGAGAGTTTACGCTTAGCACTGGTGCAAAAAAACAAAAAAAGGCATGCCAGTTCCGGGGCCAAGCTGCCTGGTTCTCCCCCGCCTCTTTTTATTTTATTTTATTTTATTTTTTGCTGAATTACTCCTTAAAATCTCTCCCAACGCCGCCTCTGGGTCTGTTGCAAGCGGCGCATTCGGCTGTGCGCTGCATTGGGTGCAAGGGCTAACAGGTTGCCCAAGTTTGGGGGTTTCCCAGCCTGAAAATCTAGGATGGGTTTTAGTCAGTTTATGGCCGCCGGTTATTTTGAACTGCCTTCCTCTTCTCTGCGCGCTCTCCCCACCCCGCCCCATGCAGCATTCATTTTCTTTGCGAAGGGGAAAATCCTTTTTTTTAAATAACAACAAACAATAAAACAACAACAATAATGCAATGCTTTTTTTCAAACTTGGCAACTTTAAGATGTGTGAACTTTTAACTTCCAGACTTGCCTCCAGAAGGTTTTCAAGAAGAGACTGGACCGCCATTTGTCTGAAATGGGATAGGGTCTCCTGCTTGAGCAGGGGGTTGGGCTAGAAGATCTCTAAGGTCCCTTCCAACTCTGTAATTCTATGTTTTCAGGGATGGAGTTCAGTCAGACCTGCATTGCTTGTTCATGGTGGGTGAGAAATGTCGGAATTATCTGCCCTAATCTGTTTGAACCCCACATGTGCCATGTTGACAGACAGAAAACGGCATCCTGTTGCCCTCTCTTCAGTCCGCCCTCCCTTTCCTGGACCTTCATGGCACCCCTAGGCTGGAGTTCCACCAGTCGGTGTTTGATGAACTGCGTGAGAAGCTTCTGGAGAGGGTCTCGGCTATTGCCGCTGAAGGAAAGGCCAATGAAAGGTAGGTTGGCTGGACCACCATCGAAGGGATTTGCCCCTCGGGCTGAAAATGGACCTCTGTCTTCTCCTTTCTTCTCCCAGGTACAAAAAACTAGAAGATCTCCTGGAGAAGAGTTTCCCTTTGGTAAAGATGCCGTCCATCCAGCCAGTGGTGATGTGCGTCATGAAACATTTGCCCAAGGTAGAAACTAAGAAAATCACTGTTAATCTAAGTGCCATCCAAGTATATAATAAAAGGGTGATCCGTGGTTTGCTTAGGTGGAATTCAGGATTATTCTTAGAAAGTCCTGTGACTTACTTACTTCTTTCTTTCCTTCCTTCCTTCCTTCCTTCCTTCCTTCCTTCCTTCCTTCCTTCCTTCCTCCCTCCCTCCCTCCCTCCCTCCCTCCTTCCTCCCTTCTTTCCCCTTCCTTCTTTCTCCTTCCTTCCTTCTCTTCCTTCCTTCCTTCCTCCCTCCCTCCCTTCTTCCTTCTTTCCCCTTCCTTCTTTCCTTCCTTCCTTCCTTCCTCCCTTCTTCCTTCTTTCCCCTTCCTTCCTCCCTTCTTCCTTCTTTCCCCTTCCTCCTTCCTTCCTTCCTTCCTTCCTTCCTTCCTTCACTTTCCTTCTACCCTCTCTCCCTCCCCCTTTATGTAGAAGTCAATTTCCTCTGTTCCTGTCTAAAATTCCCCTTTATTCAGAACCTAATGTGTAAGGGCTATCCAGGTCCAGAGGAGGCGTTTTTCACCCAGGGTATTTCTTCCTCCCTTCCTTAGTGGCTGAGTTCCATCCCCAAAAAGGACTGATGTTGTGAATTATGCTTGCTTGACTCAAACCCGCCCTGTGTCAACATCTTTACAGCTTGTGCCCATGTTTTTATTAACGTCTTGACAGGGGGAAAAGAGTAGGCTATGGGACTCCAACAGCTCTGTTGCTCTCTAGCTTTAGAAACAGTTTTACCAAGCCTAGAAAATGGTGATGTTTCCATATTGTGTCAGCGTTTGATTTGGCTTTGTTTCGCTTTGGCCTGTCGTCAGAAGCCAGACATTAACTGGGCTTCCTGGTTTAGCAGAACTAAACCACGCAGGAACTCGGCCAAGGGGGAATTGTCCAACAAACCATGTTTTTAAAAGAACATGGCTTGGAACAGTGGGGGAAAGTCAGCCCACTATCTACCCTTGGCACCGGGTTGGTTTTTGAAATGGCTGCTTGTTGGGGCAGGGAATGAGTGATCTTTTGAGTCCTGAACAACGTGGTGTTGTGAAAAGACACTGAGGCATAACACCCAGAGGTTAAAACTATGCTTCACTAGGCGCCCTAGATGTAGAAATACAATAGAAACATGGCAGAACAAGAAACAGGAGGCTCCAGAAGTAGAACTGGAAAAAACATTCGGTACAAACCGGGGACCCTCCTTTTGCAACTGGCTCCTGATGATGTGCTTGAACCCAGGTCCCCGAAAAAAAGTTGAAGCTGGTGATGGCCGACAAGGACCTGTATAGAGCCTGTGCCGTGGAAGTGAAACGCCAGATCTGGCAAGATAACCAGGCTCTGTTCGGAGACGAGGTCTCCCCGTTGCTGAAGCAGTACATTCTGGAGAAGGAGAACGCTTTATTCAGCAGCGACCTCTCCGTGCTGCAGAACTTCTTCAGCCCTTCCCCTAAGACCAGGCGGCAGGGAGAGGTAAGCCCCAAGAAGGATGAGTTGGAGGTAGTTTGGGCCACCAGCTTGGAGACTTTGGGGAAAACTTTGAACTTTCCCGCCGCAAAAGAACGGGAGGCACCCAATTCTGCCCAGGGCTGTGGAGTCGAGGAGTCGGAGGAAATTTTGGGTACCTGGAGTCGGAGTCGGCAAACAATGCACCGACTCCGACTCCTACTAAATTTAGATTGGAATTAAAAAAAAAAGCAAGTTTAAACGTCCCAATTCACAAAAAGTTATAATTAATGACTTCTCTACTGTAATAATAAAGACCAATGCATGCAGTGTCTCACGTAACCGCAAAACGAACACGTTAAGTGACCGTGAAGAAGCATGCTTTTCATGTGCTTCACTATATGGCACGCAACGCACAATTAGGAGCGGCAATACTTAGACTTTCCATAGTGTTGTGTTCTGCTGTTACAGGGAACGCAGTGCCCATGGGTAACCTAGCCTCTCACTGATAAGGGATTAAGTAAATGTTTTTTGCAGGACTAGAGACACTTGTATAAGTGAAGGGAATGGAGGGTCAATAGTTCAAGATTGAAGCTGTAAACCATTGGAAAAACTGCTGTCATTCAGCTAAGGCTATAAAAACTTGTAAACTCCGATTGTTAGCTTATTAATACAGAGGAGTCGGGGAGTCGGAAGTACAAAAAACTGAGGAGTCGGAGTCGGAACAATAATCTACCGACTCCACAGCCCTGATTCTGCCCTCCTCCCTCTCTCCCCCCCCCCCATTGCTGGAGGCACTCAGAATCTTGCTCTGTCTTTGTTTCAAAGGTGGTTCAGAAGCTGACCCAGATGATCGGGAAGAACGTGAAGCTGTACGACATGGTGCTTCAGTTCCTCCGGACGCTCTTCCTCCGGACGCGGAACGTCCATTATTGCACGCTGAGGGCAGAGCTCCTCATGTCCCTCCACGACCTGGACATCAGCGAGATCTGCACGGTGGACCCCTGCCACAAGGTACCCACGCAAGAAACAGCTGTGCAGCTCTCCAGCCCTTCGGCAGCAATAAGAGTTTTGCTGCCGTCCAAAAAGATAATAATAATCCTGGCTGAGAGAAACCTCGTTGGCATCTCAGATTGTCCCCTTCCCAAACTAAGCGGGGATTGAAAACAGGCCACTCCATCTAAGAAGAAACCGATGTTTAATTTTTACTTATTTGTATTCCGTCTTTCTATACTTTTTTTTACAAAGAATTCAAAATGACAAACATATCCGACACAAATTCCTCCTCCTCCTGTTTTCTGCTCAACAACAACCCTGTGAGGTGGGCTGGTCTGAGAGAAAGAGAGAGCCTGGCCCAAAGTCACCCAACTGGCTTCCATGCCTAAGGCGGGACTAGAACTCACCGTCTCCTGGTGATTGGCCCAAAGTCACACAGCTGGCTTTCATGCCAAAGGTAGAACTAGAACTCACCGTCTCCTGGTATTTGGCCCTAAGTCATCCAGCCAACTTTCATGCCTAAAGTGGGACTAGAACTCACCGTCTCCTGGTGATAGGCCCAAAGTCACACAGCTGGCTTTCATGCCAAAGGTAGAACTAGAATTCACTGTCTCCTGGTATTTGGCCCTAAGTCATCCAGCCAGCTTTCATGATTAAGGTGGGACTAGAACTCACCGTCTCCTGGTGATTGGCCCAAAGTCACCCAACCGGTTTTCAGGCCTAAAGCAGGACTAGAACTGACTGTCTCCCGCTTTCTAGCCTCACCACTTCCCATTCCAGGTGCCTGCATTCTTTCAGGAGCTGGCCAGCTGTCCTCCTATTCACACTTTATGTCAAATCTTTTTCCCCAAAAAAATTATTTATTTTTTGCTCCCTTGGCAGTTTACGTGGTGCCTCGACGCTTGCATTCGGGAGAAGTTTGTCGACAACAAGCGGGCGCGGGAGCTGCAGGGCTTCCTTGACGGAGTGAAAAAGGCCCAAGAGCAAGTGCTGGGGTAAGTGCTGAAGAACCTGGAGGCAGGCTTAAGAGGCTTTTTCTGCTGCAAAAATGATTAAAACCATTCACGAAACGGGATGCGTCAGCAGTGGGGAATCGGCTGTTGTGTTTCCTTTTGAGGCTTTGTTCTCAAACTGCCTGGATTGGAAATAATAATAATAATAATAATAATAATAATAATAATAATAATAATAATAATAATAATAATAATAATAAAGTTGGAAGGGACCTTGGAAGTCATCTAGTCCAGGGGTAGGCAACCTTGGCTCTTTTATGACTTGTGGACTTCAACTCCCAGAATTCCTGAGTCAGCTATGCTAGTCTAGTCCAACCCCCTGCTCAGGCAGGAAACCCTATACCATTTTGGACAAATGGCTGTCCAATCTCTTCTTTAAAACTTCCAGTGTTGGAGCATTCACCACTTCTGGAGGCAGGTTGTTCCACTGGTTAATTGTTCTGACTGTCAGGAAGTTTCTCCTTAGTTCCAGGTTGCTTCTCTCTTTGGTTAGTTTCCATCCGTTGCTTCTTGTCCTGCCTTTGGGCGCTTTGGAGAATAGCTTGACTCCCTCTTCTTTGGGGCAGCCCCTGAGATACTGGAACGCTGCTATCATGTCCCCCCTCGTCCTTCTCTTCGTTAAACTAGACAGACCCATGGCTGTAGGTCGACTGCCTATATGCAAGTTCTGCAGAAGTCTTCGTCAGCCAGGAGGTTACTTGAGACCACAGAGGCAATGAAAGCAGAGCAGGACTTAGGTTTTAATCCACTCAAAGACCAAAATTAGGAGGAATTCTACCCTGGGGAAAGCGAGCCTCGAAAAGTAGCTTGCTGCAAAGATGCATTTGATGCGTTTGCTTGTTTTTCTCTCCTTCCCTAGGGACCTGTCGATGATCTTGTGCGATCCGTTTGCCATCAACACCTTGGTTTTGAGCACGATCCGGCATTTGCAGGAGCTGATTGGTCAAGAGGTGTTACCCAGGGTAAGTTAAACTGCATTATCCTCTGGATAGGATTGGCCCTGCGGGGTTAACCTCAGGGATAAATGATGAAATGGACCTTAANGTGGACCCAACGGATTTTAGCAGCCAGAGAATTCACTTGCTTCCGTGCCCGATGTTGCTAAAGAAGAGACTAGAAATCCCCTATCTGAGATGGTGTAAGTTCTCCTGCTTGAGCAGGGGGCTGGACTAGAAGACCTCCAAGGTCCCTTCCAGCTCTTTCTTCCTCTCCTAAATTTTCAGGAAAGCCCAGAACTCTTACTCCTTCTGAGGATGCTGTCCCTGGGACAAGGGGCTTGGGATGTGATTGACAGCCAGATCTTCAAAGAACCCAAACTGGTAAGGTACCACCGGGAACGCCATCACTGATGGTCTTGAAGGTCCGCGCCTTCCTTAGTTCTTCTGAATGGACGGTGCTCTGTCCAGAAAGACCTTGGGGATAAGATTAGGCGACCTTCCACTGCCTTTCTGTGTCTCAGGAAGTGGATTTGATCACCAAATTTCTGCCAATGTTGATGGCCTTCGTGGTGGACGACTACACCTTCACTGTGGATCAGAAGCTGCCTTCGGAAGAGAAAGGTCCAGCTTCTTACCCCAGCACCATCCCTGAGTTGTTTCCAAAGTAAGTAAATGTCAGTTTGGGAACTTTTTGTCCGTCAGTCAAAACCTGGTGCTCAACAGGGCTGAAGAAGCTGGGCCCGCTGAGAATTGTGAGTTAGAAAAGGGCATTAAGAGGGGAGGAAAATGGTAAGGCACCTAACTAGACAGCAGGAGATGGTGAGTTCTAGTCCCATCGTAGCCATTGAAATGTAGCTGGGTGACTTTGGGTCAATCACCAGGAGACGGTGAGTTCTAGTTCCACCTTAGCCATGAAATGTAGCTGGGTGACTTTGGGTCGATCACCAGAAGAAGGTGAGTTCTAGTCCCACCTTAGCCATGAAATGCAGCTGGGTGACTTTGGACCAATCACCAGGAGACGGTGAGTTCTAGTCCCATCGTAGCCATTGAAATGTAGCTGGGTGACTTTGGGTAAATCACCAGGAGATGGTGAGTTCTAGTCCCACCTTAGCCATGAAATGCAGCTGGGTGACTTTGGGTCAATCACCAGGCGACAGTGAGTTCTAGTCCCACCGTAGCCATTGAAATGTAGTTAGGTGACTTTGGGTCGATCACCAGGAGATGGTGAGTTCTAGTCCCACCTTAGCCATGAAATGCAGCTGGGTGACTTTGGACCAATCACCAGGAGACGGTGAGTTCTAGTCCCACCGTAGCCATTGAAATGTGGTTGGGTGACTTTGGGTCGATCACCAGGAGACGGTGAGTTCTAGTCCCACCTTAGCCATGAAATGTAGCTGGGTGACTTTGGGCCAGCCCTTTCCTCTCAGCCCAACCCACCTCACAGGGCTGTTGTGGGAAAAGTAGGAGAAGCAGGTGTGTCGGGTACCTTTGCCACCTTGTAATATTTGTAAAAAATAATAAAGACAGCATCCAAATGAATGAGTGCGTGAGTGAACGAACGAACAAATGACCGAGAGCAAATGAATGAATGAGTGAACGAACAAACACGGCAGCCGAAGCTCTTTCTCGCGTGTCCCAGATTTCTCCAAGAACAGCGGATCGCCTGTGAGGTGGGCCTTTACTACGTGCTCCACATCACCAAGCAAAGGAACAAGAACGCCCTGCTTCGCTTGGTCCCAACCCTGAGTAAGTCCCCGTGTCCGTATCTCAGTGAAAAGGCAGAAGACAGGCCAAGCGTCCTCCTGGCACGGCTGGCTCTTTAAGCCAGGAAGAAATTGAAGGCATTGTGGTGCAATCCGCCGTGGATTCCACCACCCCCTCTCTCTCCTCCTCTCTTTAGAAAGAGGGTGAGAGATAGAGGTCCCCTTAGTGGTGGGATTCAAATATGTGAACAACCGGTTCTCTGCATGGATGCCACTTCCGGAAGACCATTCTGGGCCTGGGCAAGAAAAAATTAGCTGCCGGTTCTGCCGAAGCAATGCAAAGTGGCTGAATCCCACCACTGGGTCCCCCACCACCTTCTGAAAGTCGCCCTCTCTCTCTCTCTCTCTCTCTCGGCATTTTGCAGCGGAGACCTTCAACGACCTGGCCTTTGGGGACATTTTCCTGCACCTCTTCACAGGCAACCTCACCCTGCTGGCCGACGAATTTGGGCAGGACGATTTCTGCGGGGTCCTTTTCGACCGCTTCTTCCTGCCTGCCTGCCCCAGGTAACGCCTGTCTTCTTTCCAGAAGCTGACCACGTTCTGTCTTCCCTCAGGAAGTGAGGGGAAGGGAAGAGAAGGGGGAAAAAAGAAGGGAGGGAAGGGAAGAGAAGGGGGAAGGGAAGGGAAGAGAAGAGAAGGGGGGGAAAAGGGAGGGAAGGGAAGAAGGAAAAGAAAGGAAGGCTAAGGAAGGGAAGGAAGGAAAGAAAGGCTAGGGGAGGGAAAGGAAAGGGAAGGAAGCCTAGGGGAAGGAAGGAAGGAAAGGAAAAGGAAATGAAAGAAGGAAGGGGTGAAGGGATGAGAAGGGAAGAGAGGAAAGGAAAGGGAGGGAAGGAAAGGAAAGGCAGCCTAGGGGAGGGAAGGAAAGGGATGGAAGGAAGGAAGGAAGGAAGGAAGGAAGGAAGGAAGGAAGGAAGGAAGGAGAAAGAAGGAAGAGAAGATAGTTAGGTCTTCTGATTGGGAGAAGCTGCAGGGCTTCAAAACCGGGGTACCCACAGTCTGTTCCCACCACGTCCCAGGAAGGACAACGTCCATCGTCACCTGCTGAGGCTGCTGCTTCACCTCCATCACAAAGTCTTCCCTGCCAGGCTGGAGTCGCTGCAGAAGGCCTTGGAACCAACCAAGCAGGTAGGAGGAGAGGGGGGGAAATTGGGGGCTGTATTGTGCTCGTAACTCAAGCACTGGTCTTCCTCCAGGCCAGCAATTTACCATTTTCTTTTATTAAAAACAAATCTCTTCTCCTTGGAACAGAGCAGCGAAGCGGTGAAAGAGCTTTACAACCAGCTGGGCGAGAAACTGGAAGTCCGCAAGCCTAGCCCCGTCCCAGAAGCTGAAGCTCCACCGATGGATTTGCCCCTCCCAACAGTGTCTTCTACCCCGGTTCCACCATAGATGCAATCCCCACCCCCTCCTCAATTCCCTCTGGGAGAGCCAGGCTCATTCCTGGCGTCGGAGGGACAAAGGTTGGACACACTCAGCTTGCTTGGGACACGGTCACCTGGGCAACCTTGAACGCAGCTACTCAGATGCCTACTCCGCATCTCATCCCCACGGTGTGGGTGTCTCCCAGGAAGGGTGCTGCACAATTAAAGATAGTGGGTTATTGTTGTTGTTTTTTGAGGGGGGAGGATCGCTTAGGGCAGGGGTCTCCAACCTTGCCGACTTTTAAGCCTTGTGGACTTCAACTCCCAGAATCCCTTAGCCAGCCGGATGCCGAAGTCCACCAGTCTTCAGTTTGCCAAGGTTGGAGACCCCCGGTTTAGGGTGTCTGGATTAGCCCTGGAGGGGCAGGGCAGGTTTAAATCCAGATGTTATTTTTGTAAAAAACAAAAACAAAAAAATCTTGTGTGTTCTTGTGTGCCTATAGGAAACGCACAAAACAAACGGTAGAAGGTGGGGAATAATTTGTTCACTCCTTTTTTGCTTTGGGGTTTTTTTTTTTTTCTTAGCGTAGGAAAAATAAACTTCCCAAGCCCTGCCTCTGTTTTGGCACTTGCTTTTTTTTTTTTTCTTCCCTTCCCCTCTTTCGTTGTGGTTGATTTACTCTTTGCATGCGCCGTAACTGGATCCCTTGGAGGTTTTTAACCTCATTTGTCTGAAATGTGTAGGAATCGCCTGCTTGAGCAGGGGGCTGGACTAGAAGACCTCCAAGGTCCCTTCCAGCTCTTGTCATTCTGTTACAAATTGCACCTTCTCTCTCTCACACTCACATGCACCCCTCCAAACTGGGGATCAACTAGGAAGCCTTGCTGTGCACCCCCAAACTGGCAGTGTCAGAAACCATGTTCGTTCTCTTTAGACGCTTCTGTTCTTAACCGGATTATGTCAGCAATAAGGACAAAGAGAGGCTTCCAAACTTTGCAAAATCAGTAGAAACTAGGTCAGTTTCAGGTTGTTGAAAGCTTTAATGAGCCACGTCTCCAAACCAAGACCGAAGAGACACTGAGACATTTGCAGGGAGATGCCTAAAGTCCCCCCCCAGAGTCTTACATTTCCAGCAAAAGGAGCTATTATCAGCAATAGCTTCTTTTTCCCCCATTTTCTTTCTTTCTTCTTTTTTTTAGCAACCCAATATCCTCTCGCTACAATCTTCTCCAATCAGACAAACTTCCAGAGCTGGGGGGAACTCTGGTTTTAAAACTCCAAAGGGAAGGCATTTTTTTCCAACGGGAGCCCTCCGCTCGCCCGCCGGATGCCCGTGGGAAGGTAGCCTTTCCCCCCAGCATGCATTCCATTTACCTGGGAAGACAAAAAAAACCCAAACCCAGATCAGTTCTTTCCCCTTGAAAAGAACTTCGTGGAATAAACTTTCCTTTTCTCTCTCTCTCTCTTTTTTTTCATTCCGTTGCGTTGAGTCCCTGTTCAAGGTCTCCGGCATCCCCAACGTTGACGTCTCTCGTTTGCTCGGCTCGATCCGGCTCGCCGGCACCCGTAGGGCAGGTTTCGTCTTTGGGGCTGGTGCCCGAGGCCGCCGCAAAGGAACTGGGTCCCAATTCCCCCTGGGAACCGTCTATCGGAATCCCCTCAAGCATTTTTTTCTCGGCCAGAAACTGGGTGGCGGTTTTCCACCCCAAGGGAAGGCCTTTCGTGTTCAGGTTTTCGACGGAAAGATACTGGCTGACGGTGGGGATGACGATGGCGCTCTTCGTTTGAGGGATACGGTCCGTATCCACCCCTGGCCTCTTGGCATCTCCCCTTTCTTTTCCAGCCAGCTTCTCGTTTGGGATTCTTTTCCTGGCCAACATCGGATCCGTCGGTT